ATTCCATAATTCCTAATAGTCTAGATAATGAACTACTTCTAATCCTTTTTAGTGAATTCAGTGAGGATGAATGGTATGAATCCCCTAAGGTTCAAAGGAAGATAAGTCCACCACTCGATAACTTTGACTCTGATACCGATGAAAACCTAGATGAAATTAAAAGAAAGGCAAAAAAAACCTCCTACTATAAAATATAATTATGACCTTGTCAGGAATGCTTATCTACAAGAAAATAATGCAAAAAGAGATCCCCGCAGCCATATATCCATAAGTCCTACAAAAAAAAAGAAATATAAACCTATTAATAATATCTTCGACTATTATTATAAAGAGCAAAAAGAAATAATGGATTTTATTCAAATCAGCAAACTTAATAAAAAAGACTATGACCAAATCCAAAAACTTCTTGACGAAAACCTATTACTTTTTGCTTAGAAAAGTTCTATGCTTGGTCATACCAACTTTGTTCAATACTCTATTAACACGAGAGATGTGCTGCCTATCAAGCAAAGGTATTATCAGCCTACTTCTAAAGAAAAAGAAGTCATTAAAAAAGAACTTGCCTAGATGTTACAAGATGGTATTATCTACGTTTCCGAAAGTCTCTGAACGTCATCTGTTGTTTTAGTTCAAAAAGAAGATGGAAAGACTCGGTTTTGTGTTGACTACCAAAAACTGAATACAGTAACTAAAAAAGATAGTTATCCTTTATCTCACATTGACAACTTACTTGACTCTCTAAACAATTCTTCCTGGTATTCATCACTGGACCTTACTAGTAGTTACTAGCAGGTAGGAATTTAAGAATTAGACAAAGAAAAAACTGTGTTCACTATGCCCTTTGAAAACTTTGAATTCAACGTTATACCTTTCGGGCTAGTGAATGCACTAACTACCTTTCAATAGCTTATGGACCATATCTTCAGAAACCTAATAGGGAAATGCATCATAATTTATTTAGATGACATTAATGTATATTCTAAAAATTTCAATGAATATTTAAAACATTTAGAGTTAGTATTTGAATGCCTCCATAAATCCGGATTAAAATTGAAACCTACCAAGTGCTATTTTGCCAAACAAGAATTAAAGTTCCTAGGTCACATCGTAAGCTGAAATGGCATAGCCACTGACCCTAGAAAGATTGAAGCCATAAAAAATTTTTCTATTCCTAAAAATTTACAGCAACTTCGTAGCTTCTTGAGACTAGCTTTATATTATAGGAAGTTTGTTTCTGGATTCACTAATCTCACAGCTCCTCTAAATAATTTGTTGAAAAAGAATGTTAGTTATAGGCAGACCATTGAACAACAAGAAGCTTTTGATAATTTAAAAGAAAAATTAATCTCTACCTCTGTACTTGCCTACTCCGATTTTTCTAAAATATTTATTCTGTTTACCGATGCCTCAGATATAGCCCTTAGTGCTATTCTGACTCAAAACGATGACAGTTATAACAAAAGGGTTATAGCTTATACCAGTTGAAGTCTTATGCATGCTAAAAAAAATTACGCTGTAACTGAAAAGGAGTGTCTTGTAATTGTATAGGCTGTTAGATACTTTTGACCTTATCTTCATGGCAACTGTTTCCTCCTATACACTGATTATTCTGCTCTAAAATCCCTGTTTGCAACTAAGTTACCTCAAAATCATCTTGCCCAATAGATTATGACTCTTATGGAGTATTCTTTTACTATGGTTCATAAACCCAGAAAACACTATTCTAACACTGATAGTTTATCTAGAGTCGAATACGTTGTTTAAAAAAAAAAAAAAAAAAAATATACCTTTAAATCTGGTCAACAAAATTCAGACCAGGTTACCAGTGTCCTAGTAAAAATAAGAACAAATTTATAAGTACTATCGTATATATAAAAAAAAAAAAAAAAAAAAAGGAAGATAGACCCGGAAATTTATTCAATTTACCTCGAATACCTTCGTACATCAATAGTCCCTCCAAATCATACCATAAGGAATCTCAAATATCAAACCCGCTACTATCAAATAATCGAAGAATTATTATATAAGAAAAATCTCTGTGATTCGATATGACCATTTAGAGTCCTAAAGAAAAATGAAGTCAATGCAGTGTTATTCAGTTTCTATGATAACCCTTTCTCTGGACATTTTAATTTTTATTCAACTTACTAATGAATAGCAGCCTGGTATTATTGGCCTCAAATGGGTAATGCTATTAAAGAATATATTCAGACTTGTGACATATGTCAAAAGAAACAAAAACCAAAGACTCGAGAACCGCTATATTCAATAAAAATTGGAAAGCCTTTTGACCGAATCAAAATAGATATTTTCAGACCCCTGCCTATAACTTCTAAAAATAAGAAGTACATTGTTGTTAACACAGAATATCTTATGAAATAGCTAGAGGCTAAAGCCCTTGAATAAGCAAATACCGAGTTCATTACTGAGTTCATCTTCAAAGACTTAATCTGCAGACATAGGAGTCCTAAAGAGCTTTTGTCGGATCAAGGTTCCCATTTCTACAATCGACTTGTTGAGGCACTTTGTAATAAAATAGGAATTAACCACTACACCTCTACAGCTTATCACCTTCAAACTAATGGCTTAGTTGAACAGTTTAACTAGACCCTTTGTAACGTCCTAAACAAATATGCAAATAGATTCAATAAAGATTGGGATGAATTTATAGTACCTGCTCTTTTCGCTTACTGGACCACTAAAAATAGTATTACTGGATATGATCCCTTCTTTTTATTATATGGTCAAACCCCACTCTAACAATAGAAACTACTCTACTAACCTATTCAACCCAATCTAGATCTCAGGAGGTATTAGAACATCAAATTTTATGCCGTATTGAGGGAATAATCGGAGATCTTATCGACGCCCAAATACAAGCTACTATTAAAATAAAGAAAGCACAAGTTAGACAAAAAGAACATTATGAAAAAAGAAACAAAATTGAATCATACAAAATAGGAGACCAGGTTCTTCTATACAAGATAGAACTATAAACCTCTTATAGTACTAAAATGGCTACTTTAAATTCTGAACTATATTATATACACGATGTGCTTTCACATGGGCTATATAAACTAAAGACAATGGAAGGCCAAGTAATCAAAAAGAAATTCTACGGCAACTGACTAATTCAGTATTTCCTTCACCAAGAAAAATCTGGAATGTGGTTGGAGTATATTAACTAACTATAATAAAAAGCATGAAAAATTCTTATCGCGAAAAAAAAAAAAAAAATAAAAAAAAAAAAAAACACGTACATATAATAAGAAGAAAATATAGAAATCCTCGAAATTCCATCGAATATACAAAAAACCATCGCTATTCTCAAAAAACAGATGGAAAAAGCTGAGATTAAAGGTTCCTATATTATATAAGCTAACACCACTATATATACCTTGAATCAACAAACCCAAACTCTATACATCAACACTCCCAAAAGAGAAAGTGACGCCTAAAAGTTACACTATCGAATGCCTGAGTTCCTTAAAGATATTCATCGAGAAGAAACCTCCATGTGTCAGTTGGAAGTTCCTCAAGGAAGAAATTGAGACGATAAAGTCATCTATGTTTGTAGTCGAATTTTAGCTGGAAGGGCCGATCGAATAACTCAACTACCCTATTATTATTCCCTTGGCACCTTACTTGAAAACAAAGCCTGGACTAAAGAGGCAAAAGAAATCATAAAAAGACACTTACCTCATTAGTACTAAGAGATTTTAACTATTGCTCAACGAACCTATCAACTATATACCGCCTGTGGTCCTTCTCACCTTTTCATCACCTACCTTATTACCCTCTATGTACTCCAATGATTATATAAGAAAGATTTTTTAACATTAAAAGCAGAGGCCCAAGCCATAACTAACCAGAAAATGGCTGATGTTCTTAGATTGACCCAATTCGCAAAGGCTCATTGACAAGAGAAGGCATATATAACGAATATATTTTAGTTCCCTTATATTATCTGTTTAATTATTTTTTTTTATTTTATATTATTTTATTTTTTTTATATTTATTATTTTATATTTTTATATTTTATTTGTAAATATTATTCTATATATATTTATATCCAAAATGCATTTACGGGGAAATTCAAAGAGTTTTACAAAAAAGGGAATGCATTATGATATAGTGGCTTAACTGGTTGTTGATTAGTTAATTTGTGTATGAGCTGAAATTTAAACGTATACGTGAAATGTAAGGTGCGGACATTGGGGAAATTATGGAAGCGCTAAGTAAATAGTGTTACCTGTAAAAAAATACGTACTCGTTAAAATTATAGCGAAAACAACCTGTAAAATCAAAATGTATTTAAGTAGTTCGAATTCAATAAAGTAACGGCATGTTCTATATGCCTGACATCCCCTAATAATAGTGTAAAATAAAATAAAAATACTTATCTGAATTTTGTAAAGTAAAGAACTTTCTTCATTAAATCCGACTTTAAATTTAATTCTCCATTCGAGACTCAATTCAGCGTACTGAATTGACTTGTAAATTCGAATTGGATTATTAAGACTCGGACCCTGATCGATTACTGGAAAGTCATATGACTAGTTCGAAAGACAACCCAAAAAGAAAATTTAAAGAATTATTAGTGATATATTACATATATCTCCCTCGCCCTTGATATCATTAAACAGATTGATTACACTCCCCCATATTTATAAAGAATAATAAATTTCCCTCTATCCGTAAACTATTGGGGTTAAATTGGCCCTTGATTTATACATTTTATTTATAAAAGTATTTTGCTCTCCCAAATTCATTAGTTACAGTATGAATACCAACTTTTCATATTTTATAAATTCTCTTCAGAGAAACTTTGTAATCGTGGATAAATTGTATGATAGTTGATTGCTCGAAAAAATTTTATTTGAATTTTATTTTAGCCTATGAACTTTAGGCAAAAGCTATCATGATTTACTAAATACTACTTATCCTAAAAACGTAATACTATAGATAAAATCTAGCATTTTTATATCAAATATTTAATATCATTTTTTTTCCAATTCTTCCAATAGTTTCAACATATTTTCTGGGCCTGAAATTTTGTAGCTAAGTGGACCTGGTTCTTCAATATTTAAAATTTTAATAACACCATCATCAATAAACATTGAAAAACGTAAACCACGTTCACCAGAAAATGGTAAATGTTGTGTAAGGCCCAATGCAGAATGAAATGACATTTCACCGTCACTAAGCATTAAGACTTTAGATTCAACTTTATGAGTGTTTGCCCATTCTCGCAATACGTAGGGATCTAATTATAGAAATATTTGTGAATAATTGTGTAAACAAGAAAAATTATAAAATTATAAAAGAAAAACAAACGAACCATTTACGGCAGTACAAGCGATAGTATTAATGCCTTTATCCTTAAATTTATCAAAATTTTGAACGAATTGTGGAAGGTGTTTAGAACTACATACGGAAGTGAAGGCACCTACAATTATTATATAAACGGCAATATGTCGATATTAATAAAGGATTTAAATGAAAAAAAAGCATTTTTATTATAAGCGTGTCTTAATTTAATATGTTGTTATTCTTTTTATTTTATCAAATTTCATAATTATGTTTTTTCATAAACTTACCAGGGATTCCGAACAATATAACTTTCTTCCCTTTAAAAACTTCATGGGAAGTTATTTTTCTGGGGTTATCTTCATTGTTGTTTAATATTCCAAAGTACAAATCGTCGGGAATTTTATCACCAACTTTTACTTTTGGTTGAGCCATTTTTTAAATAATATATTTTATTCGAATGTTTTAGATTTCTTTACATTTTGTGAAGACAGTATATATATGTAAAGATGTTGAATATAAATTTGTATTAGTAATCATTTATGTGTTATATTTTAATTGTAATCCTAACGCTAAAAAGAAAACTCTATCATTCTATGTATAAACTTGCTAATTATGATATCATACATTACCCGCCTTACAAAAAATTCAGCGTTTACTTTTTAATTAATACATATTTGTGTAATTAAACATATTCAAGAAAGCACCATCTAATCTCTCGCGTGTGAAATAGATTTTCCAATTAATAAATATAATTCAATGAATAATTTAACAAATATAATAACGATGACCATTACTATCGGACTAGCCAGTTTTACCTCTGATAGTAAATAAGTGGTACCAGTTTTTATGTGAATAGAAACAAAATTTTTTACTATCGCTATCGCTATTTAAATATTTCATTTAGAGATCGTTCGTTCTCTTAGTAAACTGTGTACAAAGTCACGGGATATCATTGCTGACTAAAAAATTTCGGTATATGCAGTTTGCAGAAATCTGATTGAACCCAAAACACATATAAAGGGCAAAAAAAAAAAAAAGATGCAATTTACGTAACAAGATGCTTCGATTCGGCAGCAAAACTTTTATCAAAAATGTAAATTCTTATTTTAAAATATTATTATTATATTCTACACCTTTTTTTCTTATTTAATTGTATATTATTATTATTATTATTTTATAGATTTCTCGAGGTTATTCTACAGCAGTAAATAGCATTAATGTAAATAATTATTTTTCGATCAATCGATTAGGCCATATAAAATTAATTTTTTTGGTTCTCATAACATAAAATTTTTTAAAATAATAGCCCGCCACCCGGCTTTTAATTTTATTTTTAAAAAATTATATATATAAATTTTTTCTTTTATTTAAAAAAAAATGACTACCCGGATAGTAAATATACTTAAAATTTTTTTCTTAGGTTTAGTAAAATTTGACCCGGTCGGGTTATGAGAACCAAAAAATTAACTTTGCTTAGCTTTATATATAAAATTTAGCAAAAATTTTTTAATAACTGATAAGTTTAATAAAAGATAGCTTTATTAACAAACTTTTAAAATATTAGCAAAATTTTTTATTTTATTATATGAAAATGAAAATTATACATTACACCTAATTCTGCAAATTTATTAGTTAATTTAAATGGTAAGTCTAAAGAAATTATACTCTAAATAGTAGTATGTATAAAATATATTCTATTTGATCAAATCTCTTTAAACAAAAATTGTTTAAAAAAACAGTCTAAAAATTTAATTACCATGGAAAATAGGCGTTCCCAAAATAAATTAGGCTAAATAGAATTACATAAAAAAATATATAACTAACAATACTAAATTAATAATAAAAACATTAAAAAACATTAAAATGTTTATATACAATATATAATACCATACTAAATCACATAATCGTATAAATTTAATACTGATTCTTTTGCCTTAGTATTTTTTCGAGTTTTGCCAGCAAGTATAGTTTCGATGTCGTTTGAAATTGTATCCAAAATTGAAGTATGTGTTAAAGGTGCTTTTGTAAGAGAATAGAAAGCGTTTACCAAAACAATTGTATCTTATATCTCGGCTATCCTTTTACTCACATCGAAACCCTATGATTACTGAAGGCAGTCAAAATAGGTACAAGTCTTACGTTCATGACCAGTCGACCTTCTGTGTTCCAGCTTAGCCATATCTTTACTATCGAGATAAACACGAACCTTCCCTTCATAACCAGTCGACCTTCCGTGTTCAAGCTTGGCTATATCTCGATTGCCTTCTCTTCCTTTTAAGAGAATATGGTTCGAGAAACAACTTCTTAGCCGTCAAGATAATTACTGATCGTTCGTTAGTTATTAATAAATATTGAGAGATTAACTATATCAACTTCAAGGGTAAAAGTCAATAATAAAAATTTGATTTTACTTCTAAAATCGGTTTAGTCAATTTTTTAATTTCGGTCAGAATCACTAAAGGGTGATTGGAGCTATTGGAGCAAAGGCAATTCCCGTAATCTTATCTGCCCTTTTAGTGTCTAACAGAATGGAATCTTAATTGCTATACGGAATGAGAGATATTATTGTATCGATAATTTAATAAAAAATTTTATAGTACTGTATTTTATAAAATTTTTTAAAAAAAGCTGGTCGGGGTCTGATTCAAAATTTCATGTTATGAGAACCAATTAATTAAGCCTTAAATTAATTAAAAGTATAACTAAATTAGTTGTATTAATAAATTTTTGTCCTAAATTTTTGACTTATATCAATTTAAAATCAATCATGGAATTGGCAATTCAGTTTTGCGAATTACTGCAACCGAATCGCCCAGTTTTATTTAAATTTGGTTAAAAACTGGGTCTGATTTTGTGTAGGAGATTAAAACCAAATTAAACCGGTTTCAGTCTTTAACACGCGTTACTTAAGTCCACGGAGTAGCTTCACCATTTTGAAAATATTATCTTGTACATATTTTCTCTTGTCGCTAACTATTCATAAAACCCAGAATATTGATTATTCCCGTCATATTGTATGTTTGTATATAAGTTAGTCACTATGAAATTCTTAAGAATATTCTGGCAGAGGGATACAGAGCAGAGATGGTAAATGACTTGAAATGACCCAAATGACTCAAATGACAAATGACTAGTCATTGGTCATTTCAAAACACAAATGACCTAAGAAGGTCATTTAACTTCTGTTAATTGATAATCTAATGCTGTTTAGCCAATAAAAATTGATTATTAATTTTTATAAAATATGACCGATAATAATGGCTACATATAAAAGTCAAAAATTTATTAAGCTAATCGATAATTTCGTCTTAGGTAAAGTTGTTCAGGAGAACAATTGCATATAATCTGTAAAATTTTGACTTTTATATGTAGCTACTATTATCAATAGTGAAATAATATCGTTTGATAATTTTTTATATTAGATATCTGACCAATAAAATACTTCATATGTAAATGACCTAAATGACCTAATGACTCAAATAACCTGGTCATTATTTGATGACTAGAGGTCATTTAAATTTTGATCAAATGACCAGGTCATTTACCATCCCTGCTACTAGGGGACAGGTCAATTATCACTTCGGGGGGTACAGTAATCATGGATTAATTGATGGGCTTCGTGAAGATAACTCTACTATGCCACTTAGTAGAGTATTGGAGGGTAGGGTAATTAAGGAAAGTATAGGTTAGGTAGTAGGATTTATCTAATAAAGAGCTCAAGTTTTTATATGCAAACTATCAAGAGTTATCTTTTATTATGAGCAAATATGTTTTCATTATATACAATTTACATTAATATATTTTATATAACTCTTTTTCTACTTATAATACTTAAATATATCTTAATACTTTAACATCCTAATGTATCAAAATCAATAAAACTCACTAATTCCTCATATCTTCTTTTCTTCCTTAATCTCTTTTTTCTATTAAAATTCTTATAACTCTTTTATTACATAAAGGAGTTTTAGCTTTTTTATTTTTGAGCAACTTATTAATAGTTAGAGATTTGCATACTTCTATGCAAATACTGTAGCATATTAGCTTCTGACTTTCACATGTCTCTGAAGTAACTTTAATGTCTTATATTTCTCTTTTACTTATTTTATTTTATTTTATTTTTTATTTTTAAGGTGGCTTATATTGTCAGGCGATTTTTATTAGTTTGATATATGAGATTACACATAGCAATTCCTACAGTTTGTAATTATATGAAGAGTATACAACAAGCCACTCATACAACTTTAGTCATTATCTAATTTAAGTAGTCCACTGCATAGGCGATAGACTACCTGATTAGTTCTACACTATGCTGCTATACCTGTAACCTGCTTGTGAGTTACCTATTTAAATACTCTGTTCAACTAATCTATACCATTACAAACTAATGTCATTGTAACATCTAACTACTTAAGCCAGCTAGCTCATTACAGATCTATTTTTCAACTTCAGCTTAGGTCCTCTCGGGATGCTTATTGCTCAACATATTGTGAGTCTGCAAAGCTCTAGTTAACCTTG